GCCCTCGCAAGCTTCATTTTCTCTGGCAGAGACACTGGACTGGTCTTTCACTGTTTCCAGGGAAGCCCCATGGACAAAGATCTAAGCACCCCTATGGCCAGAGTTTGACACCCCTGCTCTAAGCTGTTGACTTCTTTGACATTTAGATTAAATGAGTACAGTAACTGGATGTTAAGTGCAGACTGCAGAGTATTTTCTTGCCATTTCCTGACATTTAAAAAAAAATTTAGATTGCTGCTAAAAAAAACCTCAAGCCTTATCTTAATAAAATTTGCACAGGGCGAAATATTTCTATGCAAGCTGTAACTTTTTTTTTTGCAGAATATGTTTGTAAACCTCTGTTGACGAGCTAAAAAGCAAAGGTTTTAATAGTTTTAGGAATGTCATTATTCCTAGAAATTGTGATTGTATATTTTGTTAAGTCATTTAAAAAAAAAAGAAAACAGTAAATTTCCAAATTGTTTTTAATGAAATTTTATTTGGTTTAAGAAATTCATTGTGATACATTTGTATGTTGGTTAAATCTTTTTGATGTACGCTGATCTGTTGCAAGATGGCACTTTATAGACATGGCTTTAATATATTGCTCTACTGAAATTAGAAAAAAGATTGTTTTCTGGGATAAATACAGTGCAACCTGTTACAATTGGTGTAGAATTCCTTAAGAACATTTTCTTTTTTGAGTAATGAGACTCATTAGAAGAATTCAGACATGATGAATTGGTATATTATAGCTGCATTCCAGTTTGCACTAGTAAGAGTAATTGTCCTTCCAGTACTGAAGCTAACTGAGCAATAAGTGGCCCAACAATTGAAAGCCTTCGTTTTCTTTTTCATTGGTGAAAAGGAGAAGCTATTTTAGAACAAGTGAAAAAATAAATGGGCATAAAGACCAAGCTGGGGGAAAAAAATCTTTTCATCTTTTTTTAAAATTATATTTAGAAGAACTAATAATTACAGTGAGAATTTGTAATTCCTTTGATAGGAGTTAATATAGCATCTCTAAGCATAGAAAATAAAGGACAATCTGCCTGTGTATTTGATTATTCATCAAAATATTGCAGGATGTAAAAAATCTTAAAGTTGTAACTATTGTATTCTGTCCTAAGTTCCATGTTTGTTCATACCGTATCTCAGCTCTTTGCCCTTCCTTCGGCAAGCAGAACAACTGCAGCCACTTGGGCATCTTACATTTTTCTTTAGACCTGAATTTGTTCCCCCTAGCAATTCTTTTGTGTATAATTACTCCAGACTAAGGAAAGAACTTAAGTAATTTAAGCGCTACGCCAATTAGTCAATTGAAGCCAGAATGGTTCCTTTTTGAAATGATGGGTTAACAGTTAAAAAGAACAACGAAAGCATTGTTTTGATATACAGGTGTTCCTCAACTTGCAACCATTCGTTTAGCAACTGTTCAAAGTTACAATGGCACTGAAAAACAGTGACTTGTGATCAGTTTTTACAATTATGACCATTGCAACGTCTCCACAGTTACAGTACGTCATCAAACTTTGGTTGTTGGCAGCCTGCATGTGTTTATGATGGTTGCAGCATTCCGGGGTCCTGGGGTTATCGTTTGCAACCAACTTAGAAAGCAAAGTCAATGGGGAAAGTTAGATTCGCTTAACAACCCACATGATTGACTTAACAGCTACAGTGATTCACTTACAAACCATGGCAAAAAGTTCGTCAAGTGGGGCCCAACTCACTTAACAGTTGTCTTGCTTAAGCAATGTAAATTTTGGGCTCAGTTGTGGTCCTAAACCGAGGACTGTTACAGTGGCAAGATTACTATATGCACAAAGATGAACAGATTTGCTATCATGGAGGAATGGTTGGTGAAATTGAAGGAACTTGCCCAGATGATCAAACTCACTTCTTTGACTAGAAAAAGGATAATGTCTACATTTGTGGGTGGCTTATTGATTTTTTAATATAGAAAATGATTCTGTGACTTACGGTTTGAAGATTAGAAGTTATAGAAAAGAGGGAATTATGATTATATAAGCAGAGAGGCTTTATTAGAATTATATAACTGCAGAGGAGGAGATTGGAAGTAGCTTCTTTTATTTTCTGTTGTTTTATTATTTTTTCTTTACTCTTTCTTTCCTTTTTTATTTTTCACATTTACTAATTTTTACTTTGAATGTATTTCTTATTATGTATGTAAAAGCTTTTAATAAAAACTATTTTGAAGAAAGTAATTGGCATTGTACCATCCACTACCTATTGAGAAAATGATATGTGATCGACTGGTTATTTATCTGAAAAGCAAATATTTTATCTTTCCTCCATCTATCTTCAACCTTATCCAAATACTAGGATCATCTAATTGCATGTTCTCTTCAGTATCTTCTTTCTGAAATGTCCCCTTGAACATTCTGGAAAGTCTTGTTATGATTTTATCTAATCTATAAATCATAATTAGTAATAACCATTTTATATTGTTCACAATCCGGAATCATTTGTTGAAATGGTGACTATACAAATTGAATAAATGAATATAAAACTGCTTTGAGTTTACCAGCTAAGCCTTTCTCTGAATAGAAACCAACAGGATCCACTATTCCATTTTCAGTAGCCACCAAAACTGCCTGATCCACATTATTCAGTGTAGAATCTGTAGCTGCCAGGCAGTTTGTTTATAAACTTCTCCCCAAAATCCTCTGTGATTTTAACATGTCATCTTGGAAGCTTTTAAGTGCATCTTCCTTTAGGACAACTTCATAGCTGTTCCATCTTTTCCTATGGGAAACCTTACTAACAAACAAAGGCGATATAGAGAGAAAAACAGGTTGAGTTATTTTCTGTTCTCTTATCACTAGCTCCAAAGTTTCTATGCATATGTGATTAACTAGCAACGAAACTGTAGTAGAACATATTTGTGTTTATAGCATTCCCAATTTATTTCAGGACAGGGGAAACTAAGGTACATATTTGAAGAGATGATCTAGAATTTTAGGGAATCTGCTTGAGAGTTTGTCGATGTGTATGAGGAGCAACTCTTTCTGAAGTGCCAGAGGCAAGCATACATTAAAAATGTGCTTGGGTAAGAGATTAGCAATTAGATAAGAGCAAGGTGTGAAAAAATATGTACGCAGATAGTGCAAAGAATGCCAAGACAACAAAACAGGAAATTGAATACAGGATTTATGTTTGCATGCCAAGTTTGCTGAGAAATGAGGAAGAGACTTAAAGCAACTCTAGCAGTCTCTGGTCAGAAAAGCATCAGGAGGTCTGAAAGCTCAAGACGTGAGCAGAAGCAAGCCAAATCTGGGAATGTACAAGGAAATCCCAAAAGTATATCCAGCAATCAAAAACTGACAAGTTCAAATCCCCTCCCTGTTAAGCAGTAACAGCTGCATCTCCCTTAGCACAGCTGACTGTGATGATGAGCGGCCAACCACAGGGATGCTTGATGCTTGCCAGTTGTTCACCCTTGCAGAGCACAGGGTGTTGAACTACTGTATATGGTAGACTGAGTAGTTCGCTCTGCTGTCTGATGCCTACACTGAGTGGCCAACATTGGGGAGGTTTCTGTACTGGCAAAGTAAGCACCTAGCACAGTGATGGTCAACCTTTTAGCCATCGCTTGCCAAAAGCAAGGGGAGTGCAGGGGGGTCGTGCATGGGCATGCCCACACCCATAATTCTATGCGCATGACTCCCTGTGTGTGTGCGACCCCCACCCTCCCCCCACTTTTGGCAGGCAATTGACCCATTTTTTGCCCTCCCCAGGCTCCAGAAGCTTTCTAGGAGCCTGGGGAGGGCAAAAACGGACTCCACTGCCCCCCACCCAGAGACCCTTCAGAGGGTTCCCTGAAGTGCCAGAGGGCGAAAAACTCCCAAACATGATGGCCAAAGTCAGCTGGTGTGCTGGAGCTGACAGGGCAAAACCTCACATACCCTAACAAATGGCTTCGCACGCCACCTGTGGCACCCGTGTCATAGATTCGTCATCATGGACTTAGCATCAAAGCATCTGGGAAAACGGAGGGCAATCCTTAGACACACAGACACAAATCCTATGTAATGCCTACTTTTTTCCTCCTCGTCAATAGGATTGACACCTCAAGCTGTAACCAATTCTGTAGATTCTTTCCACACTCCAGTGAATGTCTGCTTGTGAAACTTGTTTATATATACATATGATTATGTAGAAGATATGCCAGAAGGCATATATATGATAAGGTTCAATGTGCCAAAAGCCATACTTTAAAAAAAGGCAGAACAAAACTAAATGTAATTGAATTCCCTACTAATTAAAATGAATTGCATATAAAATAAGCGCCTTTCACCAATCTTCAATCTGCACATACCAACCATTATGCAAAAAAGGCATCTATAATTTTTCCCTCCTCCTGCTAGCACAAATAAAAAACAACAACACTGAATGCAGATTGAGAACAGGTAGGGTTTAGGAATGAAAAGGAAAAAGGTAAGTCTAAAACGTGAAGAAAAGATATCGCCACCCTTCCTTGCTCCTCAAAGTCTGACAGACACAAGGGCTGCTGCATTTTCCTTCTGAAGCACTAAAAAAAAAATCACATTTGTGAAACCAGTCTGTATTGTTTTTAATGCCCTTTTGAATAAAAGTAAGCTCTTACAGCAGTAGCCTTGCAATATACATGTAATAGCAGTTCCCCAAGAAAGAAACATGTTTTCTCCATTTGCATTTTTCATAAGCCTTAAAATGGCAGGGTGAAAACACAGTAAATTTCCTTAATGGTTATATAGTGCACTTAGGAGACGATAATTTTACCATGTTACAGATAGTCCTCAACTTACAACCACAATGGAGCCCAAAATTTCTGTTGCTAAGCAAAACAGTGAGCTAAGTTGAGTTTTGCCCCATTTTACAATTTTTTTTTGCCACAATTGTTAAATGAATCATTAAGCAATAGTCTTAATGAATCATAGGGTTGTTAAATGAATCTGGATTCCCCACTGACTTTGCTTGTTGGAAACCGGATGGGAAGATGACTAAATGGTGATCACATGACTTCGGGACAGTGCAACTGTCATAAATACATGCCAGTTGCCATTTAGCTGGATTTTGATCATGTGACCACGGGATGCGGCAAGGGGTGTGTAAAACACAATCATAGGTCACTTTGTTCAGTATCATTGTGGCTTTGAATGGCCACTAAATAAATGGTTGTAAGTTGAGGACTACCTCTAGTTTGAATTCAAACGGTACCTTGTGTGATGGGGCAACGTTGATTAAATATTTTTCCCACCACACTCACTGTGATTCTGGGGTGACCTTTATGTCATTTAGGTGCCATTGAGATGAGTGTGGGCCCCTCTAATAACTGCATGGAGAAACCATTTTGATATTCATGGAGGCTGCTTTGAGTTTGGGGAGTGAGGGAGCTAAGACTCTATAAACAAAGAGACCTCAGCAATTTATATTTCCCTTTTACTATATAGAGCTACTGTTATGAGTTACTAGAGAAATCTTTTAACAGTAGAAAACAGTGAAATGATGAACATTGGAAAGTAAATATTACAGTCACAAAAATGCTGTGAGCAGACAATGTACTCCTGTGAATATAAGACCTAGGAAAACTATTCTGGGCTGCATTTCACACATCAAAAGCCCACAAATCTTTCAGAAGGCTCTGAAATCGAGTGCTGCAGTGTACTGCTGTAATTACCCAGCCATGATTATAGCACTAATTCAAGCTGTAGTGTTGTAATTATTCTGATATAAATGCCATCTCAGGGAAAGGGAAAATTGCATCTTGGTTAATGTGGCTCTGGATTGCTTGCATAAGTAAGCTATTTGGGATAATTCAGTGATGGGTACTATACAAAAAAAGGCATTTAAGAAGTAAGCAATCTCTGAAATACTTTTTCACTAGTGTTGCGTTAACAGCATTCTCTAACAATTTAAATGAACCATTTTATTAAATTCCACCTATCCAGGTGGAGCCCGAGGTAAGTTTTTATTGATAACAATATACAATTATGGTGTTCATAAGTTCAAAATATTACAACAATGCTTTTGCACTGAGTGTTATGCAAAAGCAGCACTATGGGAAAAACAAGATCATTATAGATAGGTTCAGAAAGCATGCAACATGATTGCTTGGTTGTTGTTTTTTTAAAAAAAACTGGTCAGAGAACACATTTTCACATTCCTTAATGTGAAATGGGATATTTTAAATGTAGCATTTTTTTAATGGAAACCCTCTGATTTATACGGTAAGTGCTGTTCCTAGAATTATTGCTAGCTTAGGTTTAAATGGAAATTGTTTCCAACGGCATACAATTTCTGAGAAACTGTTTTGGATGCATCATACTTTAAGTTAAACAAACTTGAAAAGTTTTGTGTCGCCCCACCTGGAGGGATCCTGAGAGATCTTATACAAATTGGCCAGGGGAAGATTTGGATTACTGCCTTCTGCACCTGTGCATGGTTTTCTTACTGCCCTGGTCTTAGAAGCTCCCCAGAGCTCACCTGCCCCAATCTCTCTCTGGCTCCTTGTCAGGTACTGCTGTTGCTGTCCACTTGGCTGAAGGGAAGAAAAAGCATGGCTTTCTCATAAAATCAAAACAGCCATGCAAAAGGTTAGCCTCCATCTTTTCATCATTCACTGATTGCATACATCACCACTAGCATTATAGGCCCAAACCAAATCAAGAAAGCCCTTCAGTTTAGGTTTTCTCTATTTATCCAACTTCAAAAGCAAACAAAAACTCACTTCTGCCTGCAACAACCAACTCAATTTGTTGAACAACCCAACCCAACAATAATAGCCCAATTTCATTCTGCATCCAGACCAAAAATTCATATTTGGCATTCAAGCACAGGTTACCCGAATTCAGTTTGTTTTGTGTATGTATTCTTTTGCACATCTCTCTTGATTACCATCTTGCAAAAACAGTAAATAGCCTTTATGCATGTAGTAGAATACTGTATTATTTTTGACAAAGTTGTAAAAGTATCCATTTTGTTTGAAATTATTGTACAGATGGTCTGTTTCCTTTTTGTGCTGCTGTTTCCACTTCCTATATCTTAAGTATAAAAAGGTGGTGAAATCCTATAAACAGTTTAAACATCAATGGAGAATTAAGTCCTGGGAAAATAAATTTTGTGCAACTCAGAGCTCCAGGTTCTCTTTTCATTTTTGGTAACTGACGAGATACAAATTGGTATACCTTTCTTTCTTTATTGTGCTCTTATTATTCAATAAAATATTATTTTTTTGCTATTTCAGTTGGTCTGAACCTATTGTCTTAAGAGTCCTAAAAAAATCCTCTTCTGGCTGACCACCAGATGGCAACACAAAGATTCAGAAGATGATCCCTTCTAGGGAAAATTGAGAAGATTTTCCGTTAACATACATTCAGTTTATTCTTGACTTTGAAATGTTGTGGGGAACATAGGAAGGAATATTAGGTACGTTCAGAGTCTTATTTACAAAAATAATAAACGTGAGGTAAAAAAATAAAAATAAATAAACTTTAAAAACTTAAAATTTTGGAATAGCGTGAAAATGTTTAGAGACGTGCCACAAGGCTTAAATCAGTAAAGAATTGCAGAATTGAGTCTGTAAGAAATAACTGTCTGGAGCGAGAAGATTCATTATGCTAGTTAAAAAAATGAATCTACCTGCTTCATCTGCTAATTCTGTTGAATTCTTTGAAGACAGACTAGAAATTATTCATTTATAAGAAGCTACATTAAAAGGATATAGTTAATATTATCAAAAATGTATAATTTTTGCTATATGCCACAATATTATAAAAGCAGGTTTTTAAACAGAAAACTTATGCACACTGCAGTCTTTTCCCTTCTTTGTGGACTTTATATTCTGAATTTATAGGAACATAAAGAGGATAATAACCTAACATGTTCCCCTCCCAGAAAAATGGCTAAAAATGATAAATTGGTCTCAGCACTGCATTAAAACTTACATAATGGTTTGATGCTATTCAGAATGTTAAACACAGTAGATCAGACACATAATTTTTAGTCCTCTATGACAGCAGCTTCTCTAGAATTTGTTTCACAGTTACAGGATCTGATCGTCCTCTTGTGGTTCTTTGGACGTGTCCAATTATGGAATTCAGGACTTTCAGGTTGCCACTCTTTATCTCTGCCACCTAAATAGAGAAGTTTAAGACACAATGGGTTATGATTGATTGTGCTTTATTATTAATATAACATTATTTCTATATTTTTATTTATTTATTTTATTTAGTTTGTCAAAACATGTAAAAGATAACAGGTATAAGTATAAACGTAAGTATGAACACAGTAAGTGGGTACGAATAACTGGGGACAGTAGGAAAGGGACATTACGTGTGCTGGTGTGATTATGGACGCCCCCTTTACGGACCTCTTAGGAATGGGGTGAGGTCAACAGTAGACAATCTTAGGTTAAAATTGTGGGGGTTTGGGGATGTAACAACAGAGTCAGGTAGTGCCTTCCAGGCATTGACCACTCTATTGCTGAAATCGTATTTTCTGCAATCAAGTTTAGAGGGGTTTCCCTTGAGTTTGTATCTATTGTTTACTCATGTATTATTGTGGTTGAAGTCGAAGTAGTTGTTGACAGGTAGGACGTCGTAGCAGATAATTTTGTGAACTACATTTAGGTCAGACTTTGTAGCTCTAGGTTTTCCAAGCCCAAAATTTCAAGCCTGGTGGCTGTTGTGAATAGAGGAGTGGAGTACTCTTCTCGTGGAATATAGCTGCATCTTTGAAGAATTTTTATTTTAGAGCAGTGTTTCTCAACCTTGACAACTTGAAGTCCTGTGGACTTCAACTCCCAGAATCCCCCAGCCAGCATTATTTTAGAGCAGTGTTTCTCAACCTTGACAACTTGAAGTCCTATGGACTTCAACTCCCAGAATCCCCCAGCCAGCATTATTTTAGAGCAGTGTTTCTCAACCTTGACAACTTGAAGTCCTGTGGACTTCAACTCCCAGAATCCCCCAGCCAGCATAGCTGGCTGGGGAATTCTGGGAGTTGAAGTCCACAGGACCTCAAGTTGCCAAGGTTGAGAAACACTGTTTTAGAGGCTTCAGAAAAACCAGCATTGTGCTATATGTTCAAGAACAAGCAGGATTGTTTTTACACCGCTTATATAAAAGGTAAATGCCACTTTGCTGTCCAGAAAGCATTCAAGTCATGTAATCTGAGACATCCCCAGCAAACAGATCTTAGTTGTTAGGACAGTTTCTGTCTTTTGTGGCCATTTCATGTGTCACAAAGCAATTTGTTCCATTTTTCCCCTCTCTCAAGAGTTGTCAAACAACATAGTAATCTGAATGGCAAAGGCAGTTTACATTTCGTATCTCCACCAGCCACCCTAAAGTGTCAAAACCTCTTTCTTCCCAATTTCCCTGGTCTGTGATCAATATCACCTCTTTCTGATGGTCTCTCATCACAGTCTGACAGATGCTCTCAAGTTCATTCCAATCCAGGATTAGATCGAGTTTCTTTTCTTTTACAATCAGAGCTGGAGACTTCTCCTCCCTCTTCCACATCTCTTCCAACACCTGCAGCATCAAGATAAAAGAAAATTGGTGGTTGAAGCATGCCTCTTGTCTTTCAGAAAGCAAGATCGAGTTGAGAAGGCAAAGAAAGTAAATTAAAAAAAAGACAAGCAATTAAGGCTTGTTACTAAAAAAAAAAAAACACCCCGAAATTAGATGGGCAGAAAATTCATGGTTTGGTTTAATTTAAAATTTAATTAAATTAATTTAATTCAAATGCTATTCTACTTCTTCAAATAAGGAGACTTCTGTGCTGATTAGAAATTTTATAGTTGTGTCCTATTTATTATTTTCATTCCAAATTGCTTTGATTGTTTTAGTTTTGCCTAGGGCCCTCCTGAAAGATCATGCAACTCCTGTTTCATCTTTTCAGTCATGCTAAAACACAGCTAATAGCAGTAACAATACCACTACTTTAGAGTTAGGAAACATTTTTATTGTCCTGAGTTGTTTTAAAGGTTTCCCTACATTTTAATAGCATTCAGTGGCAGTCAGTTTGTTGTAGTTGTTAACACAACGGGCTAGAAACTGGAAGATTGTGAGCTCTAATCCTGACATGAAGTTTTGAGCCAGTCACAGTCTCTTTCAGCCCTAGGAAGCAATGGCAAACTACTTCTGTAATCTGCAAGGCCTTGTCCAGTCCAGCCGGTCACCAGCAATCAACACTGATTTGTAGGGTAGACCAAAAACAAAAACTGCATTCATAGTCATTCCTGGTTCCTGGCTTGAATGGACTTTTGCTTTAGCTCATAAATGTTCTGAGTCTTTATATAAGAAAACACTTCTTAGTTTGGGTTTTCTACAATTCAATCATTTTCCTTCTCCCCCATTTTTGATAATATTAAAGAGAATAGTATCAACTCGTCAGTCAGTTTTATAAAAAATTAGGATTATCCAATTACTTGGAAAAGGAGGTTAAATGAAATAAAAGAACCATATCCTACATTACATGCTAATAAATGGGTATGAATATAGTCAACATCATGGTTTGAATATAGTGAACTGAATCTTTTAACCTTTAGACCATATTTTGCGCTTAATAAGAGGATTATTTGGATTCTCTGTTCATCATTATGAATACATTGTGAAGCTTGGACTGGGGAGGATAACACAGATGACATATTTGCATATGTCACAATCAAATGAAATAGCAAAATTCATTCCCACAGAATTGTTGGCTAAACAGTCACAGGAATAGGAAAAGGAATAGATTTATATAATTAAACCAAACCATATATTACAAAGCTGTGGAAGATTATACAGGTAATCCTTGTTTAGGGACCACAATTTCAACTGGCACCTCTATTGTTAAGTGAAGCAGTCACTAAACAACACTGCAACTGTGCTTACCATGTTACATCACCTGTCCTTTGCTTTACAGAAGGTAGTAAATGCAAGAATTGGTCACAGTTACATTTTCATTACTGTCATAACTTTGAATAGTGGGTAAACTAGGGCGTCACTAAATGAAGACTACCTGTAATGCAAAATCTGTAACACCTATAACCAATTTATTCATTCTATAAAGCATAACTGTATGCAACAACGTATCAGTCTGCAATAATTATTTCTTAATGTTATAAAGCTCTCCATTTTTGTAGTCAAGCTACAACACATTGTAGCAATCTCTAGAAACAGCTACTTAAAAGAGGAACATTATTTGGACCGTTTCTACCTTGTGCTTGCTTCTGATTCAAACATACATGCTGTGAGACAGAAGGTGCCCTTTTAAAACAGCTGTTTCTTCTCAATTTTCCAGTGAAAAAAATAATACAATGCTTGGATTATTGCAATCAGCTCATGCAAAATGATTGGCATGCTGGAAATTCTGTACTATTAATTTATATGTGCTAAAAATGTGTCAAATGCAGCAATTTCACACATAATTAGCAATTCCTTAACAAAATTAGACAACTGAATTAAGTTTTACTGTGTTATACTTAAGTATAATAATACAGCACAGTTTTCTTATAACATGTAAGAATAGTGTCCTAGAATTTAGTAAGGTATCTTGTATAGGTTGATAATAGATGTACATTTAATGCAATGATCTGTGGCTGACTCAATTCTCTATTAAGCTGCCCTGGTCCTGCTGTGGACCACAACAGCCTACTAACAATGTAAAGTGGAGTAACCACTGTACAAAATTTGCATTTGGTTGGGAAAGAATAGTATGTCCTAAAGGCAAACCAAAGTGAAAAAATAGTCAGCAAATGTAACTTATTTATTGATTTAAATAAAGTATTAAGATCAAAATTTTTGTACTCCTAAGAAATATAAGTACAGTACAACCAGACTGTAGTACAAGAATAATAGATGCCTTGAGAATCAGGGCTGTACCAGAGAAAAGATGTTTCGGAGACTGAAATATCTGAAGATAACAATCTTGTGCTCATTAAAATTGACATTTAATATTTTACTATATAGGACATTGCCTTGCTGCATTGTAAGAGGTCTTCCCATTTGTTTTGGAAGATAAAAGAGCTGAGCAACTTCCCAGTAGTATAATTACAGTCAGCACTATTATATTGGGCACTGATTTTCAATTAATGACATTTAGGGAAATTGAATTAATTTTAGGTTAAACGGTTTAAATATTCAGTATGATAGCTTTACAAATATTCCAGGATTTTTGTCATTTTTACATTAAAAATTACAGTTTCGCTTTGGAAGCATGTGTGACTTTGAAAGCACAGGCAGAAGAGCTCACAATGATTAGATACAGATTGAACCATATGAGCTGGTAGGACAGGTTGTCCAGGGTGGGCAATTTTTACAGAAATAAAACAAACCCAAACATATCACAATCACCACCCACACATTCTGACTCAGAAATATTTATAAAAATCAAATCTGTTAGAATATTAATGACTGGGAGAGACATGGTAACAAGGTCAGCCAATGAATAGGTATAGCAATTAAGTCAGCCAATGGGAGCTTGAACAGGTCTGAGTCTGTGCTGAGAATCAAAACTGAAACTACTCTGTCTGCTCTGAATTCTGAAATGAAACTAACTGTTCCCTCCTGCTTGTATTCTGCTTGTAACTTCTACCACGCTGAAAGAATCTACTATTGGTATTGTACATTTATTCATCTGTTAATTTGTATATAAAGAAGTAAATGAATCCAGCTGAATCAGTTATCTGTGTGTGCTTTCTGGATTTGATTTTTCTGCAACAAATTCTGACAAAGTCCTATCTGCACACCAAGATATCACTACCAAGTAAATTATTATTTGAAGAATGATTAAGGATAGCCATGGGCCACGTATTTTTACTTTCTGGAGAATGTGTTTAGATATGCTTTCCTGTCTTGCCTTATCTGCTTATCTATTTATTCTTTAGAAAATCACATTGAGTAAGGAACCATTATCTAGTATCTTTTTACTGAATTGATTAAGTGGGCTGCCATACTGACAAAAACCTTAATAGTTTAAGGAAAAAAATACAGTCAATAAAAATGAATCTAAAAAAAGAGTGCTGAAGCGATAGGTCATAGAAACTGAAAACTAAGTCACAGTTAATTCTAAACTTTTTCCTTCTAAATTTTAAAACAAACTAAATAGTAATATCCCAGATGGGTTTCATTCTGATAATATAGTGGGATCAACACTCCAGATTAATAAAACAATTCATGATATTTACTTTCAGCTAAGATGTACCCAAAATGAATCATTCCAAAGTATTTTATCTAATGAAGGATCATTTCTTGCCTTTGAAAGTTTGGCATTTCAGGTTAAGAAAGTCTATATTATTTAATTATTCTGCTTATGGTAGCAATTTGTTGCTGTATGGGTATATTTATAGTTTTGAATTTTTACTTTGGGGTAATTGTTCATTTGGGGTAATTGTTCATCCCATCTGCATAGGACTCTGTACTAAAAGAAACTATATTCTTAATAGTACGAGAAGCTACTTTTGCCAAATAAATGGGTTAGCAAAAATAAATGGCCAAAACTGCATGCATGCATGCATACATACATACATACATACATACATACATACATACATATATATATATATACGCAAATTTAAACACAGACTTCATAAGACACTTCTTAATAACACGTTAAAATTATATATTGCTAATCATAAGGACTTGAGAGTTATAACTCTTGGTTAATCTTATTTGCACTTGCTTCATTAACCATTTTCAGTCATACTAAAAAAATCAGTTTAGATAAATAAATAAATCATATGACACCTTAGTGAAAGAACAGTTAGGCAACTATTGTTTGTACACATTGTATTGTGTACTGCATTGTACACTAAATGTAACGGAAGTGAAAATAGCCAATGAAACAGATTCAAATAAATTAACCTTGCTAATCATATTCACAAATTAACTGATAAGGCCAAATACACATTTATAACATCATTTTTTAAAAAAAAATGTTTTTCTCTTAGATGGAACCAAAGTTTTATGTGATGAGTATGCAGAGTTTGCTCCATTTTTTAAAACTTAAAGACTCCACAGAAGCTGCATTCTTTAATCAAGGACTAACCCAAAGTAGAAGTGGACACATATGTCTTCATTACTTCTTGATTGCCAATTTAACACCATCACATTACTGCAAATTTTCACTTTTGATCATCTGAAGACAATAGGTGAAAGGTAGATAATTCAAGCAGCTTATTGGTGAAGAACAATTAAGGTCAGTTGATCTTTACCCTTCCAATCTCCAAAACAAAATTTTGAAACCAAGAGAAGTATATTTATTGTCATTTGGACTTGAAGCTAGACCATATGTCCATTGTTTAAATAAAATTTAAGACTTTTTAATATATGATAATATATTAAAAAGTGATAATATATAAATATTTCTCATACCAGCACCCCATACTGGTTGTCTATTCCTAATATTTTAAGATACATATGAGGCAGGCATGAAATCCTCTTACCTTTGCTACCGGTTTGGAACAGGAGCGTGTGCATGCGCGGAACCTTCTGCACATGCACAGAGCGTCTGTGATGATGTCTGGGCAAATGGGTGGTGCCTCCCGCCACCGCCACTATTAGTTCACCTGAACCAGGGCGAACCAACAGAATACCACCTCTGATATAAAGTTTGTGGAAATAGCAGAAACCTATCCTTTTGGGTTGTTTTAAGTTGAGTGAGAATTATAAATTATGCAACTGATTGAAATACACTTTAGGTTTAGGTTTAGGTTTATTAGCATTTGTAGGCCGCCCTTTTCCCTGAGGGGACTCAGGGCGGCTCACAGAAACCAGGGAGAGGGGAATACAACATTAAGACAACAACACATAATAAAATAATAAGCAACATCCATTCATCATTCGGGCGGGGTAGCGATTCTTATCCCCAGGCCTGACGGGCGAGCCAGTTCTTCAAGGCTATGCGGAAGGCCTGGACGGTGGAGAGGGTACGAATCTCCACGGGGAGCTCGTTCCAAATTTCCTGGACTTCCTTTTT